GCTCATTCCTATTATTCTCCGTGGGTGTGACGCCGTTCAATCTGGAGCATCTGAGTGTCCTTTTGCCTGAGTGAGGGGGCGTTTCCCTGCCGAGGAGCCACGTTGAGCCACGTTGAGGGGGGTTGTGTTGCCTTCTGCAGGTGGGGACTGGTGCCACGGTGGCCACGCTGGCCGACGCCTCCGAGCTGCCCACCACCGTCACCGTCGCGCAGGTCAACTACTCCGCAGTGGCCGACGGCGAGGTAAGGACCTGACTCAGGGCCTTGACACAGAGCAGAACTCTCCCCTCAGAACTTCACAAAAGTGTTTATCCTAGAGTGAAGTGGTCACAGAGAGCACCCAGCCTTGCTTCCCCCCCCTCAGCGTGGAGGGTTAAGGGGTGTGTGAGCACGAGACTGTTCGATGCAGCAAGTGCTGAACTGTGTTCGTTTTATCACAGAGTTTTTGGGGTTGGAGGAGATCTTTCAGATCATCAAGTCCAACCCTTCCCCCAGCACTGTCAGGGCAGCACTGAGCCGTGTCCCTCAGCACCACATCTTGACTCAGGATGGTGCAGGTGCAGTTATGGTGGAAGCCTCAGTTCTGAATGTCATACTTTTAAAAATATACCTCCAATAGATAATTTTGTGTGATCTCCTGTAGCTGATGGAGACTTAACAACCTACACAAGCACATGTCCTTGTGTTCCTACTGAATAACTCTTCCATGGGTGCTGTAGACCCTGGGTGCTGGTTTGTCAGATCAGGATTGGGAGCTCTCCCTGGGCTATCCGAGCCTGTGGCTAGCAAATGATCCTGCATGGCTGTGGGCACATCCTGTGAGTCTTTGGCCACTGATCTCTGGATGCTGTGGGGCTGTTCCCTTGCTGCAGCTTTAGGGGTGGTTTGCAGGTAGATCCCAGGGCTGCAGTAAGGCCCCATGGTGCAGAGACAGCAGCAGGTACTGTGGAGTTACTGCTCCCTCCCCTGCAAGCACCTCTGCCACTGCTCTGCAGCTTGGCCAGGTTGGGTGTGCCAAGGACTCATCAGACCACTTCAGCCCCAAAATCTGAGCACTTCAATTGACATGTGTTTATTTTTCCCCTTTTTTTTTTTTAATCTAGTAACAATGGGTTTTTTTTGTGTGTAAGGAACATTCCTTCAAGATTATAAAGATTTTTGTAGAAGTTATGATGATGATAATGACTTTTTTACCCTCTTCATCCCCAGCCTCACCTTTAAAGCAGGCTGCAGGTTGCTTTCTGCCCCTTGATGTGGTTTGTGGTGGTGAGGTCTGGGCCAGGCTGCTGTGTGTGGCTGGGGCTCTCACAGCAGCAGGTGGCAGCAGGGAACAGCTTTGCTCTGCACCGGGCCCTGCTCCCTCCTCAGCCCCTCACCGAAGCTGCCTGGCTCTGGGGCCGTGCCCTTGAAGTCCTCGACAGCTGCTCTGAGGGTTTTCAAGAACCTGTTTTAGCTTTTGGGATTGGAAAGAAATTTTTCAGAGGGACAAATCAGGGAACACAGGCATTGAATTCCTCGGTGAGCAGAACCTCTGAGAGATACCTTGGACCAAATAAAAGTCCAAAAGTAGACTTGCTTTGAGGACCAGGTGCCATTTCTCTGCACAGACACATCCTCAGCCTGCTGGCAGCCTCTCCAGGGACATTCTTATCCTGCCATCTCTTCCTGTGGAGCTCTGAGTTAGCTCTGGATGTGTTTCCAGGATGCCAGGTGGCACAGAGCAGGGATGCTCACTCATATCTCAGTGGAGTGACCTTCCTGTTAGTGTGGGGAAGAGTCTGGATTGTCCCCACTTCTCTTCCAGGCCTCGCTCCCTCCCTGTTCTCCAGCAGCTTGGGTGTCTTTGCAGGGCCCCATGTGCCCCAGTGGAGACCTGTCTGGTCCTGCTGCCTCCCTGCTCCAGTGTGTGTTGGAATCCTGTCTGTCCATTCCTCTTCTGGGTGATGGGGGGCAGGGTGTCTGGCCAGCTGGGGCTCCCTTCCTTTCAGTTGTAGCCTGGCTAGTGAGTCCCACAAACCCTGATCTGACCCTCTTGAGATCTCTACCATCTGCAACTTCTTCTTCTCCAGGCACTCAGAACTTGGTTGCCTCTTTCCTAAAAAAGACATTGCCTTCTAAAAAATTCACCTTCCTTTCTCCTTTTCACTATGTACTACACTGCTCCCTCCCTGCTTTGCATCCTTCTGCCCAGGGTCAGCTCTGGGCACAGGAGAATGAAGCAGTGGCCTTGAACATCAGACAGCTGGGGATGGCTAAAGAGCTACGAGGAGAGTCAGCCTTGCCTGGGCCCAAGTGCTGGAAAACCCTTTGGGCAGCTGCTGGGGAGTGTGTGATAGCAGATGGGAGTGAGAGCACGACAGGTTCTCTCTCCTTCTCCATCCTGTAAGGGGACTAACCCTTTTCTTGCCCAAAGACAAACAGATTTACTTGTCCTTTTGTGGGGAGCCTTGTGGCAGCTCTGCTTCTATGGACTTTGGAGCTTTTCTCCATCTAGAACAAATTGAAGGCTGTTTATATTTTTTTGTTCATCACCTATTTTGGAGTCTCAGTGAGATGATGAGTCCCATGAAATGTTTATGGGGATGAGAACAGTGCTGGGAGGGTGGAAGTTGGTCAGCTGAGGGGCCTTCATCCTCCACTTCTTTGGCTGTTTTGGTCCAATATATGTTTCTAGTTCATGTCCTGGTGGACTTTGTGGCCCTACACTCATTATCTCAGGAGCTGTGAAGTCCCAAACAGAGAAAAGTGGGCTAGGTGGAAAATGAGCAACTGAGACTGAGTGAACTTTAAGGGATATGAAAACTATCCAAGTAAAGAGCTGAAAGAAGGGAATTGAAAGTACCTGAACTACCCAAACTCAGTACTTTCCATCTGCCATCTTCTTTTGTCAAGCATATTGCTGCAACACAAAGAAATTCCTCTTGGCTCCAGCCCATCCGGGGTCACAAGTGCTGGACAAGGAGATCCTGAGTGGGAGCCCGTTGCCCTGGGGGCTCCAGGAGGGCAGGAGTGGCTGTGGGGTGTGCTTCCCATGGGTGTGACAGAGCCACAGCTCTCATTTGGTGCTGGAACACGTGGAGAAGAGCAGCCAGAGGGGAGGCTGAGCAGAGAAATGTGTGTGGCTGGCAGAGGGTTGTAGGCTCCAGCAATGTTCTCAGTTGGATCCCAAGCTTCCCTCCCTTTTTTCCCCCCCTGTCTCTCAGGGTCAGAGCACGTGCAGGATTCTTTCCCATGGGTGTGACAGAGCCACAGCTCTCATTTGGTGCTGGAACACGTGGAGAAGAGCAGCCAGAGGGGAGGCTGAGCAGAGAAATGTGTGTGGCTGGCAGAGGGTTGTAGGCTCCAGCAATGTTCTCAGTTGGATCCCAAGCTTCCCTCCCTTTTTTCCCCCCCTGTCTCTCAGGGTCAGAGCACGTGCAGGATTCTGCAGAGACCTCTCAAAACGTTCTGGCTCTGTAGGGAGGAACTGTGTGTTCATGGGATAACATTCTATCCTAGGGCCTTTCTCTTTTTGTTTTTCCCCCTAGGTGGAGCAGAACTGGGCAACGCTACAGGGGGGTGAGATGACCATCCAGACAACACAGGCATCAGAGGCCACACAGGCAGTGGCATCCTTAGCAGAAGCAGCAGTGGCAGCATCTCAGGAGATGCAACAAGGAGCAACTGTTACCATGGCACTCAACAGGTAGGGGTGAGAGACACAGAGGCTCCCAGCCTGCCTGTGTGACACTTCCTCCTAGGTTTTCACTCTGATAGTGCCAAGACCACTGTGTCCAGTCCCAGTAAAGCCTTTTCCTTAGTAAATAGCCATGTCAGCCTGTGCCCAGACACCTGCAGGATGGTTCCTGATTCCCACTGTCACCACAGAACACTGACGACATGGAAATTTCCCAAAAGAGGAGAAGAAGGGTAGTAACTGTACACTCTAAATGATCTTATTTGTACAGCAAGGGTGCAGTTACAGCACTGAGCTTGCTGCACAAGGAAGAGTCATCATGTGCACCTTTTAAGTGGGCTGCTCTGTCTCTCCCTCCCTATTATTAATAGTTTATTACTAAAAGGCTGAATTTCCCTGCTGCGTGGCACTACGGTCTCTCCTCAGAAGTCAGATGATGTCTGCACTAGAAGGTGAATGAGCTGCACTAGTGATGCCACCTCTTCATCTCAGAACAAGCTCTGGTAGATTTTTGGTTGTACTCCAGTCCCCAAGATCTGCAGCATCGTTCTCTGCAGGTCCATGCAGCAGGAAGGAGGGTCTTGGCTCAGCTCTGGCACGTTGCTTAAGCCTTGCCTGCTGTCCTTAAGCTGGAAGTGATGGTGGCACACCACAGCTGCACCCTGGGCCAGCAGCAGGACTGGAGGAAACTCCAGCAGCCCCAGCAGCACGGGAGGCTTCACCCTGCTGGGGTGCAGACAAAAGATTCTCCTCATCCAAATCAGGATTCTGGTCTAGAGGGAGTTGGTTGAGCCGTGGGTGAGGATGAGCCCCAAGCCCACGCTGCTGGTGAGCAGAGTTAAGCTCCAAGACCTTGCCATGTACCCAAATTTCTGAAGCAGTCACCTCAATCTTGGGGGCATTCAACATCTTGCAGCTAAATTGCTGTTGCAAGCATATCATGAACACACCTAGAGCTGTTTCTTCTCCTTGTGGGCCAGATTCAGGTCCATCAGATATGTTCTCTGCTGCTACCACACAGGCTTGGTTAAGTGGAATATTTTGCTAGTAGTTTCACTATAAAACTGCCCTTTTAAAAACAAGTGATCTTTTTAGGATGCTCTAAGAGGGACAGCTGAAGTAACTAGGTATGGAGTTGCAGGAAGAAGCCTTGTCTCCTGGAAGCTGACTTGCAGGATTTGTGCCCTGCACATTTCCAGGCAATAGACTTTTGTGTGCTTTGTTTTATCAGAACTTTTTCTGGGCTAGAGCATTAGTGGGCTTTTGATTGTAATTTCATCCCATCTCTAGAGATTGCAACAAGCTGTTTCCTTCTATATTAGCTTAGGAAATTCAGAACCCTTAATAAAAAGAGGTGTCATCAGAACTAAACTGGAACTGAATTCTAAGAAGAATCTCCTAGAAAATATGAATGGAAGAGCCTACAACAAGTCATTTGGTCTCTGCTGCCTCAGATCTTAACACAAGGAAGATGTGAAGCCATTGGAGTGGGTCCTGAGGAGGCCACAACAATGATGCAAGGACTGGAACCCCTCTGCTGGGAGCCCAGCAGGAGAGAGTTGGGCTGGGGCAGCCTGGAGAGGCCACCAGAAGGTCTCCCTGGAGCCCTTTTGGGACTTCAGAGAGCTTGTCAGAAAGCTGAGGACAGACTTTTGAGCAGGGCCTGTTGAGACAGGCCAAGGGGGGATGGTTTTAACGTAAAGGAGGGGAAATTTGGACTAGATCTATGGAAGACATTTTGGATGCTGAGGGTGGTGAGCCCCTGGCCCAGGCTGCCCAGAGAGGTGGTCACTGCCCCATCCCTGGCACCATCCCAGGGGAGGTTGAGGGCTCTGAGCAACCTGCTCTAGTTGGGGCTGTCCCTGCTCCCTGCAGGGGGTTGGACTGGATGGCCTCTAAAGGTCCCTTCCCACCCAAACCAGTCTGTGATTCTATGAGGACCAGCTCTGTCTATACCCAGGAAAGCTCTGTGCTATGTCTCTTCTCACAGTTTGTGGTGCAGGAGCAATGCACAGACCATAGCACTGTTGCAGTAGGGATGAGAAGCTTCATGTTTGATTTCCCAGCTTGTTGTCACCCTCTTTATCTACTGACCATGGTAGGGCTGGAGACCTCTCAAGGTGACTGTCCTCCAACACCCTTCCATGTGGAAGAGATGGACTTTTTCCTTTGCCATACAGTGTTCCTTCTAGCTTTCCCTGTTGGACTGTGTGGCCTTTCCCTTGCCTGTAGGAAGATCTCAACAAAGCTCCAGCCCTTGAAAGCTTGTGGCTCATTCCAGCTCTGGAAACTTTATACTTAATTTAGGAGAAAGCTGCAGTCTCAGAATCTTCTTCCAACAGCTGCTGACAGAGTCTTTTGTAGCCCCCATGCAGAGCAGTGCACCTGCCAAGAGCATGACACGATGGATGATGCAGCCCCTGTCAGGTTGGAGGATTAGGCCTTGTAGGACTAAAGTGGAGGTGGGTAATTAATTCATTGATTTGAACCAGTTCATGCTGGTGGAGCACACTGACTGGAAAAAAGCTTTTATGCCACAGATCATTATTGTTTTCAGGGGTGGAACTCTTAACAGCTTATTAAAATGCTCAGTTGCCCTTGAAAGGGGATTCAGCAAAGTGCTGTGTGAAGTCTGGGCAACAGGTCACACCAGTAAATGCTTGTTTTCCCCAGGTTCCCCGTGGTGTGCTTGGCCCTTCCTTCAGTGACTGCCTTCACATAGCTGCAGGTTCAGAAGAGAGATGAGCCAAAGGGTGTGAGAAAACAGGACAAGAAACTCTTTTGGTTCCCTAACAGCATTTAGGAGCTACTCTGAGAGACAGAGGGGCTGTGCAGGAATGAAAACACACCCCGAGTGGACACAGCGTTCAGCACCTGAGCAGGAAATTAGGGAAGAGAAAGAATGATTAGGGAGTGCTTGGAAAATATTGGAGTCAATTGATCTACCAGAGAATGAACAGAGCAGTTCAGGAAGAGCATCCTAGGAGCAGCTAAAGAAAATACTTTTTTTGTTCATTAAGGTAAGAAAGGGTTACATTGAGAAGGGTATAGCCAGCAGGGCAAAGTTCTTCTGCCCCTTTCCTCTGCCCTAGAGAGGCCACCCTGAGAATATTAGGTCCAGTTCTGGGCTCCCCAGTCCAAAAGAGACAAGGAACTACTGCAGGGAGTCCAGTGGAGGCTGTGAAGCTGCTGAGGGGCTGGAGCATCTCTGTGCCAGGCCAGGCTGAGAGCCCTGGGGCTGCTGAGCTGGAGAAGAGAAGCCTCAGAGGGGATCTGAGCAGTGCTGAGCAAGAGCTAAAGGGCCCTGGGGGGCAAGAGGCTGGGGCCAGACTCTGCTCAGTGGTGCCCAGCCACAGGCCAAGGGGCAACGGGCACCAACTGGAACCCAGGAGGTGCCACCTGAGCAGGAGGAGAAACTTCTTTGGTGGGAGGGTGCAGAGCCTGGAGCAGCTGCCCAGAGAGGCTGTGGGGTCTCCTGCTCTGGAGAGATCCCAAACGTGGCTGGTGTGACCCTGGGCACCCTGCTGGGGGTGAGCTGCTGGAGCAGGGGGTGGGATGAGGGGATCCCCAGAGGTCCCTTCCAGCCCCACCTTTCTGTGGTTGTGTGAAATGGTAGGAGATTGAGCTGCAGGGAGGAGGTGGCTTTGGACCAATTTCATGCCTAGCAGTAGGTCACTAGAAGTGGCTAATAGTCATCCAGCAGTCTGGTGGAACTGGGACAGTGCTGAGGGCTCACAGCACTCTGTGCAAGCAAAATGGCAAAGAAAATGTGACATCAGTAAAAGCCAGGTGATAGACTTTGGAAGAAATTCCTCCTGCATTTACTCAACCAGGATGTATGTGCTACCAGTGACCCTTCAGGGGATTGTCCTTCAGGAATGTTGCATCACTGGGGAGCAGATCTGCTCAAAAGGGTAAGTTGGGTATGAGGAATTCTAGGGAAAGGCAAGAGAACAGGCCTCTGGACTAACTCCTGCTGTGTCTGCATCTTGAATCCTGTGAGAAGTGGTCAAACAGATTTCTTGCATTAGAAAAAGTCTGGGAAGGACAAGGGTGGTGAGCAGCCAGGAAGAATCCTTGCACAGCAAGTGGACTACAGCTCTTTTTTTGGGAAAGACATTGTTGGAAGTCTATGAAACCATGAGGAAAAAGAGAACAGGGTTTTTTTTTTTCTGTTTCTCACATTAGCAGACTCAAGGGCTGCCCAGCCTGAGTGAGGGGGTAGTTTTTGGAGTATCAGAACACAGTTTTTCTTCCCACAGCACCTAATAACACGTGGCCACAGGATGCTGTGGGAGCAAAATGTATAAATGGGTTTCAGAGGGGATTAGCCAAATCCAACCTGAGGGTCCAGATGCAGTCTCTGCTGGAGGAAATCAATATGCTGCTGACCATCAGAAGCTGGGAGGGTGTAGGAAGGGAAGGATCATACACACTCCTTCCTAAATATCTGACACTGGCCATCCTCACAGCAGGACTGCTGCATGAGGAGGACCTTTGCTCTGACCTCATTCACATGAAGAAATTGAAGAATTCTGTGTTAGGCTTCCAATCAGTCATTAAAAAGAATTATTAAACTACTTGACTGGGGAGAAATGCTCCATCTTAGCTAAGTACAGAGCTGCTGGTGTGAACCTGGTCATGATAAACCTCTGGGCCTGCTTCAGAGCAAGGAGAGCTGGTGGAGTCCTTAGTGAAGGGTGGAGCTCATCTGTAGAGACCCAGAATGTGAGAGTGCCAAAAGAATGAGTGGATCAGGAACTTGCTTGGGTTGTTTGAAAGCTTTTAGTACAGCCCAAGCAAAAGATGCAAAGGTGAGAGGACAGGGATGTTCTAAGAGATCTGCAAGCTGAATAAAGCCCTTGGAAGCAGCTTCTGCCCATGTATTCATGGAGTCATTGGATGGTTGGGGTTGGAAGGGATCTTAAATATTATCTCATTCCAAACCCCCTGCCATGGGCAGGGACACCTCCCACTAGAGCAGGGTGCTCAAAGCCCCATCCAACCTGGCTTTGACCCTCCAGTGATGGAGCATCCACAGCTTCCCTGGGCAACCTGGGCCAGGGGCTCACCACCCTCAGAGTGAAGAACTTCTTCCTAATTTCTAATCTACATCTCCCCTCTTCCCGTTTGAAGCCATCACCCCTCATCCTATCACTACCCTCCCTGATGAAGAGTCCCTCCCCAGCTTTTCTGTAGAACCCCTTGAAGCACTGAAAGGCCACCAGAAGGTCTCCCTGCAGCCTTCTCCTCTCCAGGCTGACCAAGCCCAACTCTCTCCTGCTGGCCTCACAGCAGAGGGGTTCCAGCCCTCACATCATCTCCAGGGCCTCCTCTGGCCCTGCTCTAACACCTCCATGGATTTGGGAGCTCCAGAGCTGGATGCAATATTCCACCTCCACTGTAGATTTCCTCCTGGATAACTTCATCTGGGCCCAATAAGAATCCTTCCCTTCTGGATTGTTTTTCTCTTGACATTCTGGTTAAAATAGATCCTACTGGAGTGGCCTTATTTATTTGCTTGATCTTAATTCTTCTTTCTCCTTTCCTGTGCCCACAGTGAAGCAGCTGCCCATGCAGTAGCCACGCTTGCTGAAGCCACTCTTCAAGGTGGAGGACAAATTGTCCTATCTGGTGAAACTGCAGCAGCAGTAGGAGCGCTTACAGGAGTCCAAGATGCCAATGGTAAGAGTGCTGGCAAGTTTTTACTTTGCCTGGGTTTTTATCTTTGGTCTTAACTAGGGCTTTTTCCTCTCTTTTACTTGAAATGTTGAAGTTTTTGCTAGTAAAATAGTTCTGCCTCGTTGTAGGTGATGACAAACTAGGTTGCAATGTAAAAGCCTGGACCAGGATGGTGGCATTGACCTCTGTTACTGCCACAGTGCTGGTGGCTCTGCTCTTTTCCTCCTCTGCCAGCTCCTCTCTAGCCTTAATTTTGGGGAGAAAACTGGTCCCCACTCTGTATCTGCACCGTGCCTAGCCCAGGGAGGACCAGACTTGGTCAACTGACACAACTAGGCAGTGCCACAATAAACTCCTCCCCAAAACACTTCGTTGTGAAGTGGCAGAGAACATAACCATTGTCTTGTTGCCCACCCATTTCTTTCCTTCCTCAAGACTTCTTTTGTCTTCTTGGTGGATCCTCTTGAGCATCTGTAGCCTCTCTGCTTGGGTGGCCCCTTCCAGCCCCCCCTTGGCAGTTGCCCTCAGGTTGTTTGCTGCCTTCTTCCCTTTCCCTCTTGCCACCAAAGTCAATCTCTTCGTTCTAGGGATTCCTTGTATCCTTTCTCACCTGTTTTCTGGACATCTCTTTGGCCAAGTCTGGTGATTTCTGCAGTTATTCAGACTAAGGTCACAGTGAATCAGACAGTAAGTTCATCAAAGGTGGTTCCAGAGATGAAGCTGGAAGGTGTGAACGTGTCTAGTGGGTGCTCTGGTTGTACCTCTGCGTGATGCCTTCACCATTCCTTCCCAGTTCAGAGGTGGAACTCACTGGTTATTTCAATTCAGCTGAAGGACATCAAAATAAGCTCAGAAAGGATGTAAAGGGTGAAGCTGTAACAAATGTCACCTTGAGGATGGGGCTATTGGGACTCTAATTGCCAAGGAGGGAACAGTCGGGTGGCAGAGCGATGACTTCTTGCCTTGTCACCTTGCACCTAGGGGCAGAAACCTGGGTAGGGGAGACCTGGAGTTTGACTTCCATCAAACCCCTTGTCTCCTACAGAATGTGCTCATAAAACACGGCTGTATTTTCCCTCGGGGTGGCCCTTGCTCTCTGCTGCTGTGGAGTCAGCCAGCCTGAAGAGGGAGCAGAAACCTGCCCGCAGAGCTGGGCACGCAGCCGGGGCTGGGTCCTGTTCCCCTTTGCCTGGCCTGAGGGGGGTCAGTGCTCATCGGAGGGAGGATCTGACCCTGGATGCTCAAAACCAGCAACTAATCAGCTTTGTAGAAGCACTGTTGGCATCCTTTGGCAGATCTGCACCCCTGCCTCCTTTTGGTCTGCTTCCAAAAGGCATTCCCAGGGCTGGATTCCTTTGGATGCTTCCCCTGAACAACTCTCCTCCTCCACACCCTTCCTGAGTCACTCCACTCCACTCGACCCAGCATTCATATCATTTTAAAGCAGGCTGGGGCTTTTTTTTTTCTTCTTTTTTGTTTAGCAGCAGAAATCAGATGGGATTTGGAGTGCATTAAGAGGAGGCACTGCAGCATTTTCCTGTGGGCAGAGCCTCGGCCGCAGCCCCTCGCCCCCTTCCCACTCCTCCTTCGATCTGCCCTAATCTCTGGTGGCATTAAGGGGAAGGGCTTGGTTGGCTTGGGGGCTTCTGTGATGTAACCAGCTAATCTATCCCCCTGGGGGCTGGCGGAGATGGTGGTATTCCATCCTGGCTTTTCTGTCTGGGAGGGAGAGCAGATGGATTTTCAACGCCGGCGCTGCCCGGGAGGGTTTCTCCCCCTCTGCCCTCCCCTGGAGCCCGGGGTGGGGGTGTGTGAGTGTCCCCCCTGGCCGTGGAAGTGAAGGAGCTGAGTCAGGGGCTGGTTTGGTGCCACTGCTTTGCACAAGGAGAGGTGGGGAGTGGCTGCCAGAGCCACAGTGGGGCTCACCTGCAAATTCCCCCTCTGCTCGCTGGGGCTTCCGAGGTCTGGATTTGCTGATATTTCCAATAAATGCTTCTCTCTAGGAACTCTCTTACCCTTCAGGGCCTTGCAGAGGGATTGCAGTCCCTTCCCCACGCCACTTTCCCTGGAAAAGGCAGGAATTTATCCCCATCTTATTGATACAGAAAGCAGACAGTAGTTGACTTGAGGCCAGCTCAGGCGTTTCACTCCTGATTTCAGCCATTAGATCGAAATATTCTCTTTTAAGTTCTGCTTTCCATCTTGAGTATTCTCCTCCTCCGTTCTTTGGCATCTGAATAATAATACTAGAGAACAGAGGCAGCTAAAAAGCAGCAACTTGTGTGTATCTTGGCTGAACTGGGTCTCTCAGGGTGCCCAGGAGCGGGGCTGAGCTGCGAGAGGGCTGCGGATAATCTCGTGATCGGTTACATATAGAGCTAAGGGAAATCAGATCTCCTGCTCCCAGGCAGTGTCCAACTCACTAAGTGCATTATGGTTTTCTTCCTACCCTGGAGCATCTGCTCCAAGTGGGGCTGCTGGAAGTGATGACCCCACGGTTTGAGCCTCAGATGTTTTCTTGTTAAGTGGTTGGCATTAAAGCAGAGCACTGCTGGAAGTGAGCGAAGGGGGTGGCAGCAGCACCGACAGCTGAAGTTGGCTGGAAGCTGAAAATGCTCCACTAAGAGGAAACTCTGCACTCTGGGGCTGCTTTGGGCAGCTCCATGTGATGAGCTGGGGCTGGAGCCATCCCAGGGCTGCAGGAGAGACACTCGATGGGATTTAGGAGGGAGAGGAGGTGATGCCAGCCTGCAGCTGGGCCCCTCTCGTTGGAGCATCCTCCTACTGCAGCCTTTTGTTTGACATTGATCTAGTCGGGGACTTGAAAGCTGCTTGGGCTACAGGCTTCCTGGCTTCAGCTTTAAATATTCATGAGGCTTTTGCTGTAGCAGCACCGGGGCAGGGCTGTGGCAGTGCACTGTGTGCACGGGAAGGACAGAGCAGAGTCCCTGCCCAGGGAAGGTCGGTCTGATGGGCTCAGTGTCCTCCCAGGCCTGGGGTTCAGAGAGCCAGAGAAATATTTGGGTGGGAAGGGACCTTTCAAG